CTTTTAATGAAACAACTAAACTTTTTTCATTCTCAGGGTCAGAGGACACAAGACTGATGACACCGCTCCACTGAAACTCTGTTATGGTTTATTATTTTTAATCCTAGAAAACTCAAACAGAGGAAATTTTAGCTCCAGCTTCCTGTTTATTTGTAGTATAAATATTGTTTTTCTTCCTGTTTATTTGTAGTATAAATGTTGTTTTTCTTCCTGTTTATTTGTAGTATAAATGTTGTTTTTCTTCCTGTTTATTTGTAGTATAAATGTTGTTTTTCTTCCTGTTTATGTTCAGTATAAATATTGTTTTTCTTCCTGTTTATTTGTAGTATAAATGTTGTTTTTCTTCCTGTTTATTTGTAGTATAAATATTGTTTTTCTTCCTGTTTATTTGTAGTATAAATATTGTTTTTCTTCCTGTTTATGTTCAGTACACTGTAAATGTTTTTATGAGGTGTTCCCTCTGCTGCCCCCTGCCGGTGACCCGGAACTGTGTGTTTCTGTCTCAGTTTCCCTCCGGTTGTGTTTGACAGGCGGACCGTCGGAACCATCGGGAGCAGTTATGGCAGAACAGGACGGCAGCAGGTTCTTCAGGAGAACCAGTCTGTTCTGGATCATCACCGTCAGTCTGGCGGTTGGATATTTTTCTGTAAGTTGATGTAAAATCAGTTAAAAGTTGGAGCGGAAACAGGAAGCGGCTCCGTTTGTGTCGCTTTGAACTTCATCTTTAAAGTTTATAAAAGTCAAACAGAGTCTGGTTTGATTTAACTGAACATGTTTGAACAAAGTGACGTCACTCAGGTTGTTTTTTCTGCTAAATAATCTTATCAGAGTCCATAAGGTTCTGAGGTTCTGCCTGTTCAAACAGAGTCAGAACAAAGTCCAGTTTGGGTCCGGAAACAGAGGGACTCTCCGGTTTTTTAATGACGTCACATTTCCGCTGCTTACCTGTTGTGTTTACCTGAGCTGGTAATGTTCGGTCCAAAAGAACAAAGTTCAGCAGAACTTTAATCTGAGCAGAAACAGCAGGATTGAGCTGAGTCCTGTCTTTTATTTACACAGGAAGTCCTGGAGATAAAGTGTCAAAATAAAACCTGATGAAGGAAGTCAGTCTAAATGTTTGGAGCAGTTTCAGGTAAAAACAGGAAGTTTTGTTTTTCATTTTTTCAGTTTGCAGTTTTTGATCCTGATAAAATCCCTCTGGACTCTCTGGGTCCGTTCGGCAGCTTCACCCGACACCTGGTGCAGAACCACCCAGGCCTCTTGCTCAAAGGGTGAGTTCTGCAAACACAAGCAGAACATCGGACTACCTGGACTTTAACCAACAACCCCACAGGACTTTAACCCAACAACCCCACAGGACTTTAACCGACAACCCCACAGGACTTTAACCGACAACCCCACAGGACTTTAACCGACAACCCCACAGGACTTTAACCAACAACCCCACAGGACTTTAACCAACAACCCCACAGGACTTTAACCAACAACCCCACAGTTTCTCTTCAGTTTAACATGAAGCAGCTTTAAATCAGCTCATAACAGTTTTTATTCAACAAACATGTTCATGTTTTTATCATCTTTATATTAAAGATACATGACTGTAGACCACCTGACCTGGTCTACATGTGACCTGGTCTACATGTGACCTGGTCTACATGTGACCTGGTCTACATGTGACCTGGTCTAGAGTCATGTGACCTGAGCATCAGAATCAGAAGAAGCTGTGGACACTATTTTCTGGAAATTTCAAAATAAAATGTTTGTAAAATTTGTAATGATGTCAGATGTTTGTGTCTGCAGGTGGTGGGCAGCCTTCGCTGTTCATGTGTTCGAGGCCATCATGGCTTTGAAGGTGTGCAGGTAAGGACACCTGAGGTCTTTATGTCCTCCAGGGGACAGAATGTTGTCTTCTTTCATCTTAAAGTGTGCAATAAAACATCAGTAGACATGAAGAGGACATCTTCACCACCAGAGACACTAAGAGACAATCCAACTNCAACTGGAGACACTAAGAGACAACCCAACTGGAGACATTTAGAGACAATCCAACTGGAGACATTTAGAGACAATCCAACTGGAGACATTTAGAGACAACCCAACTGGAGACATTTAGAGACAACCCAACTGGAGACATTTAGAGACAACCCAACTGGAGACATTTAGAGACAACCCAACTGGAGACAT